TTGCTAATCAAAGCAGACATTTGCACCTAGCGTTAGCATTAGCCATTTCCTGCAGGGCTTCTAACATCACACATTCCCCCAATTAAACTGGGGTTGAGAACTAGCCAAGTATCTCTCTAACAGTTTCAGTTCACTATCACTTAATACAAACTTTTGGTTTGTTTTAGGGTTTAAAAGCTGCATTTCTTTCAGTATTATCAAAGATCTCTTCTGCTTTATAAGCAGAGCAGACCGAACTGGTTTAAAGCTCATAAACATTGTCCAGCAAAGGATCAAACACACTGCAGCAAAGAGTCTGGAAGCTTTTCCAAACTCCTACTTGCCGAACGGCTTCACTATAGAGTAATGGCTATGGCATTCTTGTAAAAATGCGTAAGTCATTTCTCAGTAGTATAGCAGACTACATGTGTGTGTCCGAACATATGTCATCTGCATGGACAGAGCTCACATTGTGTGCTACTTCTAGGTGCTTTGTATACTACACGCATATAGAAAGATGGAGCTGCTTTTATCTGGTGGTTTGAAACTGAAGCTAATTATTTTACACAGCCACCGTGTCACAAAATGCTGCTAGTTTTAGATTTTACAGAGGTACGATCCTCAAGTGTCCATAAAACACATCTTATAACAGTCATAGACGATGTACGGATGTGACAAATTTCAAAAGCATTAAAAAAAGTAGTTTCTGGGCAGGGAAAAATTCTCCGCTGTGTTTTTTTTTTTTTTTTCCTAATCAAATTGGCTCTGACTGTAAATTCACTGAACCAATGCACGCAAGCAGTCCGACTCCAAAATTTTAAAACTTTTAAAAATCCCTGGGGCTGAGTTGGAGAGGGAAAACCATTCAGATGGAAAAAAAAATGTATTGTGCCTGTCATCATGTGACTTTGTTTGGGTATTCTGCGCTGCCGCCCCCCTTTTCAATGGGCGTTTTGGTAGCAGATCTATTCCCTGCCAGCGCCACCCATCTCGCTCCTGACCAACCGAAGACAGAAACCAAGCTCCGATGTCTCTTTTTCTCTCAATCCCTCTTTCTTTCGGCCTCTCTTTTGCTCTCGATTCCTCTCTCTCATTCCGCTTCAGTAGCTGCAGACAGCACCGGGGGGATTTTGGCAGTGTTCGGGCCCAGACACATTCTCTCCTCACACTGTCGTGAGTGTCAAAGACCTATTTTTCTCTAAAGGCCTTTGCGTCAGCTGCCAGGATGGCCCTTTTGAGTGGACACTCCAAAAGGAGCGAATTCTACATTCCAGTCAGCGTCCAGTCCACTTCTTCATCAATTAACCGAGCACTTGGTTAAATATTGGCCTTCAGCGCACGCTATTGTTCCACGCTGGGCTCAGAAAGCCGTCAGATTTTACAGCCAAAGCATTCCTGCGTTCAAAAGGTTATCAGCGCTAATATTTATAGGCTAGCGGTGTGAGCTTACGCGGACCACCACAGTAAGCCACTCGTGATTCTGCCTGGTTTTCATAGCATCTTTAAGCTTGAGTCTGAGACCCCTTTGAGCTCCTTATGAGAGTCTGAAACAAAGCCAGCGGACATCTGTTCACCCTATCCTCTGTTTAACATATGACCTTTCAATGGCTCTCGCTCAAGACTAATATATAAAAACAAAATTAATTATTTCATAAATAGAACATCTATGAAACTAAATGAATAAGCAATTAAATATATTACACAAAGGGAATTAATACAAGGCCGCACACTTAAGTTCTGTGGTGCATACATTAAATGCAGGCCCACCATCAGAAACAGGGAAACACGTCCCACCCAAATGAGTTTTCTTAAACTTTTAAATTTGGGCCTCTCCAATTTTGACTATCTGGTTACATGTATGGATACAGTAGATAGGTGAGGTCAAAACATGTATAGACATATATTTGATTTGACATATTTTAGATCAAGTGATAGACGCAATATATGAATAAATATTATACAAACTCAAAACTTTACAATTCGCATTTTTATTTAGGCTATACTAGAGGTGAACACAGTTTAGCAAACACAAAATACGTATTACTTTGTTTGTTTACTTTACTAGACCGAACTGTGCTCATGTTTAGTTTAAAACGGCTCTTCAGTAATTGAATAAGTTGAGAAAAGAGCCTCTCAGAGAAGTGTAGGCCGTGTGCATGGTGTGAAGAACAGATCAATGCTTTGACCTCTTTTTAAACCTTTTGACCGCAGATTTTACAGATCGATGATGTCGAATCGATTTGCACAATTCGGGTGTTGCGCTCAACAGCGGTCATAATAATACTACTAATACTGCTATTAATCTTATTATTATTATTACTTTGTTATAGTATTTACAGGGTATTAAAATAGCAGCAGCGAAAAAATAGCTAATAGCGGTAGTCATTGACGCGTAACTTGTCAAAAACATCAAAAACAAGATTTTAGTCTAAATTGTATATGTTTTTTAAATGTAAAGTAGGCTACAATGCATGCGATGTGACTGTCACTATTTCTTTTACGTCTTTCATCATTTATTGTTTGCCATCAGCAGTTCCATTTTAAACGGGCCTGTCCTGCGCTTTGGTAAAGTGCAAACATTCTCTGCAAAAATGGTTTAAATAAAATGGACACATATTGGCCTATAACATGTCAGCTTCCCAAAACCTCACATGTGAGAGTGAATTGAATCTTTTTCCAAAAAAATACAAATTTTAGGCATTTAGGCCTTTCTTCAAGCTCACGTTACTGCTCTTCTGCAGTAAATGTGCCCTGTAATTATTCTCTTGTTTCTCATGTTAATGCTGTTTACCCCCAAAATGAGTCTGTTATTTCATCAGTAAGGGCTCTGTCTGCGTTAACTGCGTTTACCTTTGAATTACCACTTCAATGGGACATGAAGAGGGCAGATACGCTCCGAAAAAGCAGAAACTGTTCATACAGGTGCAGGACGCTTGCTTTTAACGACTAAATACTGTAAATACAGAGTATGTGGGGGAAAAGATAAACAAGAGTAAAGTCAGTATTTTTGCACGTTGATTTGAGGTCAAATGCTCTACATCTTTCTCGAGTAATACCGCGAAGGCCTGTTTTACCATATGAATAATATATGAGATATATGCCTTAAATTAGTATACAGGACAAAATAAGTTTATCACGCACTTTTGTGCTAAATAATAAGTACAGTAGGGTAGTGGGAATTAAAACCAGGCCTTTGACTAATTGGACAAGAGAGACTTGGATAGCCTACTAAAACGCGTGCGAGTTCAGATTCAAACAGGGAGTGACGCGTAACTAATTCTATAGATAGGCTACAGGAGAAATCAGAAATTCATTAAAAATCACATTTTAAAGCATGTTGGACAGCTTTGATCGTCTTTTTGTTTTTTTGTTTTTTTTTTATAAATCAGTGGGCTCTTGCAGAGGGAAAATCTCCAGGGACCAAGAATGTGGCATGGATATTGTCAGCCTAAATTAAATTCGTACACACTCGTAAACTCTATTAGTACAAACGGACACATAAGATGAGTCGTACCGTCAACCCTAAACAATATATTGAGTCATTTGAATCGCTGATTAAGTTATATATTGTTATCACGTACAACTTGTTAAATTATGCTTTTCATTAAACAATATAATTATGATACTTGACAACAATTAACGGCAGTCAATATTCTGCTTGATTTTCGAGCTAAACGAGTAGAGCAATATATCAGACAATATAGGCTAGTAATCGAGGCCCGTGTGCCTTTCACATAAACATTCACTCATTTTGTTCTGATATGTTATCGGACAAATTTATAAATCACGTAGCGAAGTTTATTTAAATAACTTTTACAAAGCTAATATAGAAATATACACCACAGTGGGAAAAAGGCGGCGGGGGGAAATAATAAATGCATTTAACTAAATAACCCGTATGAACTCCAAACAACTTCCCGCATTCAACATCCGTCCACTTCACTCATTAAAACATTCAAATACAAATAAAATAAACAAGGGAACCGATATATCCACTCATTTAGTTAGTAATATAACTAATCCAACATTGAGCAGTAGCCTAAAATGCAAGGCAAGACTTTTCATCTTTAAAAAAAAAAAGATTAACTGTGGCTAAAGGGGCTAGTTATATCTGACAATATCGACATTAATAGTATCAACATACGAGTTTTATTAAATAACAAATGCTGTTTTAAAGAATTTCACTAGTAGACTCACAATAGACAAGTCTGAGCAGCAGTACAATAAGCAAGTGTTCACGATTTCATGCTTGTCGCCAATTGTATGGTTAAAAATACCAATAAAGAAATGAATAAATCGACATTGTTGTTCTCCGTGAAAATCTATTAAGCGCCCACTCATTTTCATCTTTATTGGTGTCAAAAGGTCCCCCAGTCTAATGGGGGTCCAGACTTCGAAGAATTAATTGAATCAAAACCGAGCTAAACTACCGATCTGAGTCATTATGAAATAAACGAATCATAATTGTGATTAAAAGGAACACGTACGCCAAAAGGGCCATAATTGATGCACAGCATAAGAGCAACCCCCGATACAAACGCGCTAATAAAATGTCAATTTTATTATGGGTTGCCCAAACGTCGTTGTATTTGTTCAGAAAAATAAAAAGCTCAAAATTCACCATGTGTCTTTTGGGGAGACCTGGATTTGCGTCTTGTCTGACAGAGAGACTGTTGAAGTGGGGCTCCCTGTAGAGACATTTCCTTTACGAAAGACAGAAACTATTGTCTTGGTGAAAGAAAATAAACAACAATTAGGAGGGAGAAGTTCTGCAGTGTAATCGCATGTGCATTGGTGTCATTCAGTGGCCAGATCAATTCCCCAAGAAAGCATCGGACCGGGCGCGTGTTACTGCGTTAATTAAAATGCATAAAACGAAAACCTTAAATCCCGGTTATTATTTACGGTGTCCGAAGCGCAACTCCTGTAGACGCGCATCAATAGTATCGACCCGTGACTTGCCTCCCAGACTCTAGGTTGGGTTGATAAGCATTGCGAGAAAAAAAAATAGGCAATCTTACCTTCAACAGCCGAGGACAGAGGCAGCAAAAAGCCGCATAAAAACAGCAAATAATCCATTGTCATAAACCAGAGACTTCGGACATGAAAGTGGAGTTCCGCGAGGAGATGTAAAATCCTTCAGACCCTCAGTCCAGCTTCAGAGACCCTCTTCTCCAACTTCAGTTGTCTTCTTCTCAGCTGTTTCCATAAACCGCAATTGCAGCTGTGTTTATGTAATCCAATGTGCAAAAAATATATATATCTAAAGTGGCGCTGAAAGAGCTTTAAAACTCATCCACCGACACTCCTGCCAGCTTATTTTTCATCAGTGGTGAGCATGTGTGTCCGTTTATAGATGTTGCACAGTGAAATCCCTACACGGAGAACAGTTGTTTAAATGTCCATTTCTCCTCAGATAGCATTCTGTTGTAGTCCAATAATAAAGCGCGTCCCGTAAAAAAAAAATCACCTTATAGCGGCTCTACGCGTAAAATCCCTGAGCGCGTTTCACCTTCCGAGCGCTGACCGTTCCTGCTTCTCTGCCTTTCCATGTGCACTGGAATGAAGATCGGCTGCTCTGAAATCAAAGAAAGAGTGAAAGAGGGAGAGAGAAAGGCGGTGTGGGGAGGAGTTTTCGCTCAGAATCAGCTGTCAGTCATTCTGCTGGCCACGCCCCCTGACGACCTGGCGCAGTTGGCAGGGTGCGAGCGCCGCTCTGCGGGTTTGAGTGCTTGCATGTCTTCAAACTCTCGTGGAAACCAACAAACCTTAATGTATGTGATGTTTTGGAAACATTTTATGTTACAATGTGCACACGCGTAATAATTATTAGAGTTGCACTTTTACCACAGTAAAAATACGTAGCTAAGCTTTATTGCGAGATTTATCACAAAGTAGGCTTTTGCACAGTATAAGTAAAACTTGCTCATTTGTATTGCTTAATACTTACATGCATAACTATATTACAGTAAATAATCACTGTGATATTTTTATTATTAGTAACAGTAGGCTACAGTTCCTGAATTTGAATTACGGACTTTAAGGTTAAGGTTAAATTGAGGTTTGGCGAAACGCTTCAGATGTGCCACGTTGACCTGTCTGAACTTTTTTTTTTTTTTTCTCGGCGTGTTATGATTGATGATATGACGCTAAAAGTACTGTTAAAATGTGTTTTACATGAAGTGGTTATATGCTGTACTTTTGAAAGCGGTCCTGCTCATCCAAATTATTTTCAGCTCTTTTTCACACACTCAAATCCCACCGCTTTTTCTCTCTGCCTTTTCTAACTTCTGGTAAAAGTAGTAGATAACAATTTTGAGGCCTCTTTTAACCAGATAAACTGTATCCAAAGTAAATGGGCTCTTTCTTAAAAGTATTTTTACCCTATTGCATTTTTTTTTAATTGTAAAATGCAGTGGTAACATTTTAAATTATTATTATTATTATTACTTCTGCTACTGCTGCTGAATGTTTATTTAATGTCTTTGTTACTGTGGGTTTACGTTCTAGGCATTGCATTTGATACATTTTGAATAGGTTCATTCATACTTAAAATTACTATAAATGCATTTCTCATCCCTTGATTTATTTTTTAAAATGTTATTTATTTATTTTCAATGTTAGTTTAGCAACCAACTTTGAATCACATGCCTCAATTTCATAAATGTAAGTTGTACTTAGAGTAGCTGCTTGTATGTGTACAATAAAAGAAAACATTTTTTCCAACTTTCAGAATTTGTTTTTTTGCATGAACAAAATATGTTAAACAAAAAGGACACAATAAAGGAGACTATATATTTAGTTTTGTACATGCAGATTTGTACATGCAGACTATTGAAGGTGTATACATTTATATAGACTGAAAGTGAATTGAGGGATTATATAATTTATCTTAAGTCAATGGAGTAATGCTGAAATGATAATGAATGATCTTGTTCTGTTATTTGTCCTGTAGCAGTTCGTATAATTCGTGGTCTAGTCTTTAATTAGAAAACAGTACGGGGGAGCACTGCCGTTCAGTCTGCTAGTAATGAAGGCATGTATCGATATCTGTGTGTTCGTGAGAGGAACTGAGACAATGCACTATGTAAAATAATAAAAAGCTTTTCTGATGTAATTCTCACAATACATTGCTGTTTTTTTTAATGAGTGTGCTAAGGTGTTTCAATTTCTCTTTCTGGACTTATTTTATTGCCCTGTTTAGCTAAATATTTTGTGACATTTATGATTAATACTCTCGATGCATTGGAACATAAAAAGTGTATGGCTAAAATAGAGAATTATCTAGAAATCTGTAGCAGCATGTTTAAGTGTAATTACAGTGTAGTATGTATTTCTCATGGGAATATTAGAAGATAATATTGTTTTGAGGTATAAATAAAGGCTAAATATAAAAGGACCCAGTAAAGAGCCTTGATTCACACAGAATGTTCAATTTAGTTTTAGCTAAATGCTGATTGCCAATAAAAGCAAAAGTATTTCAGATCAAATGTAGATATTTTAACTGCTTGAGAGGCCAAGTGCTTCAGGAGTTTGGCGCAATGTTGTGTTTATATAGCTGCATCCATATCCATTATCGTTTTGTCTTCAAAGTTATACTGACGTCATAAATTTCAGTTAAATACTGCGACAAAAGCACAAAAAAGTGAGTCAAAGTGTAATCAAGAGCGTATCAATTGTAATTCCATATTTCTGTCATATATTTATTATTTATAGAGCTGCTTTTGTATAAAGACACAAGTGAGATTTGATTTATTGTGTAGGCAGTCTTGTGTTTTAATGAAATCATATGTGCGATCTGAAAGAGGGTTGGGTCATGAGAACAGGGATTAACCGCACACTGAGGAAGTCTTCTAATATGAATGTTTGTTAAAGTAAAAAAGTATGTGTGTGAAGCCATAAATATGAGGTCGAGCTAAAACTCTGGAGTCTATTTTGCATGAATGGAAAATTCAAGTTAATAGACTGATTGGCTCATTGCCTTTAGGTTCTGTGTTGTTTTGCAAAACTTTTATTGCTTGGTTATTTGTCGCTATATGTGAACTGTTTTGAAAGTTTAAATGTTATTTGAATTCTAGATTTCATTTAGAACTTTTTTTTCTGTTTTATTGTCCCTATGAATGGTAATAAGCATTCTGCGTATTTTATAATAGCTGAAAAGTCTGTTTTTGGTCTAACGGCGAGATTTCTTTAACCATTATTTTAGTTGCATGTCAATGGAGTGCCTTGAAAAAAACAGACTACGCACCTGGCATTCATTACAATCTCAATAAGTAAAGTGGCAGACATTTTATTGGCATGTGGACATATGGAGATTTCTCAAACTTACACCCGATCCCCTTCCACTACTGGCCTGCCTGCCCAACGCTGCCGCTAACGTTGATGCTGGACTAACAAACACTAGCGCTAAAGCAATATGGGTAAGAGCATATTGTTTTCTTCTGGGTATATGCGTTGAAAATGTGCAGATGAACTGCAGGCTGTGAGACATACAGCCCTTGTCTACAGTCGGGGCGATGGTACTGAAGTTAGTGCCCACTTTTGGCAGAAATCGGCAAGGTAAAAAAAAAGACAAGAAAAGATGGTTCTGGGCTGGAAAATTGGGCTTTGCAACGGCTCCTTAAACATGTTGGACTTGAACGAGGAATGAGTAATGCAGTGGCCTGGGGTGTAGGATAAAAAAATCACCAAAAAAAAAATAAAATAATTGAATTGAAAACTACAGTTCTAAATTTTAAGTAAAATCCAAGTTTTGCAGAATTTACAACTTGAAATGTTGTGCAGTTTTTCAACTCTTTAATTACGATTTAATTCCTTGTACAAAAAAATCTATTAAAGCTGTAAAAATAGGATTTAATCTATCATTATTAATAAATTATTCTTTAAATAGTACATCTATTATTATACACAAAAACATTTAAGAAAAAAAATTCTGTCAAGAAAAAAATGACAGAATTATTGTGAAGAAAAAAATATTTGGCCTATACATTATGTTCTTATTTCCATTTGCATGAAATTGCTGAAATAAATTGCTTTGGTTGCTAAAATATATTCTAAGGATATATGGGAAGGATAAAAAATGAATTTAAAACATTTAAACCTAGGGTTTAAAGTTTACAGTAAAATCTAAGTTGTGCAGAATTTACAGTTACAGCACCATTATTTCCACAACTTGTTAATTACAACTGAATTACTTGTGAAAAGAAAATCTGTTAAATTTATTATTAATAATAATAACAATAACTTAATATTCTGTAAAGATATTTCTTAAAATGATTAGATACAAATGAACTGTAAAGCACTGTAATGCAGTAAAGCCGCTCTGGCTACTTTATTTTCGCCATTAATCACTTAAATGAGTTTGGATGCTGAAATATCTTCTAAAATCTAGAAGCAGTAGTTTTAAACAAGACTGTGATGTTTGAGGTGCTTGTTTGTGGGTAAGTTACTGTATGTAGAAATGTCATGTATGGTGTCATTGGAGGGGAACTGTTAATTGATGCCCCGGCGCCTCCAGAAAGCCTCCCCCTCTCTTTATCACTGCCTTCAGTTACCTTCTTCCTATTGCTCTGCACTTCAAACAGCCTAATCTGTGTACTGTACTGATCTCTCCAACACACACACACACACACACACACACTCACACTCACACACACACA